AATCGGGCCTTAAAATATTTACCTAACCGGACCTTAAAATATTTACCTGTTTCCTAAGTTCCAAAATTTATTATGGGAAAATTGGCGATACTTATCCATGAATTAGGGACATGCGAGTGTGCGAGCATTTGATCCTGCTGACCTACAGGGCAAGTTCAGCGTGTAAACTTGGAGCGCAGAGGGCTAAAAAAGCTCTGGCACCAGTTTCCTTCCGGCAGTCTCTTTAATGTAGAACGAGAAAAGGTCAGATCAAACACTAATGCGTGCTTGTGTGCGCACGCACAGGAGCGCCCCTTGTAATGACATTCCAGCCACGTGTGCATGCGTGCATTTCGTAGTGTAGGACCTTTTTGGGAAGCTTCACAGTACCGAATTTCTCTCCTTAATTGAGTGAACTTTTCTTACTTCCTTGTTCAAAGTGTATTCGTGCATATGCATTCTATCGCCTCTACTGTTGTAAGATTGAATCTTACTCTCTTAGAACACTCCGCCCGCCGACACATCTCATTTGATTCCACCCGATGAGTCGCAGCAGCAGCAGTCGCAACAACACTTCAACAGTGCCAGTGAGAGTTCGACCTCAACCCCGCCAAGCAATTCTGCAAATGATGTCTCTGCATCGACGCGTCACCATAGCAGCGGCAGCTACCCCACCTCAAGGTCGACAGATCCTCCTCTCCAGCCCCCACCTGCTCCTTTTCCCGCTGACGTTTCCACTACCCCGTCTACTCCTCACTCCCAACCCACTCCTTTGTACTCCCCTAGACCCACCTCTTACTCCCTTACGAGCAATCGGCCTCCCTCTCCCAGTGGTCAAGGTCGTATGGTGGACCCTAGAATGCCCCATTCTATGCAGCAACCTCCCCGAGGCCAACAGTTCGCCGATCCGTCTTACGCTCCACCGCCTCTGGCTGCGTCTCAACAGGCGATCTATGAGTAAGTGCTAATTTTGATGAACTCAGGGTGGGTAGATTTACTTCTCAAAGTACAGGCTGGAGTAAGTGAGTTTAAGATATTATGGAGACTTTGTGTAGCAAAGAAGAGGGAAAGTCTGTTTTCCAGCCCTCTAAATAGATAGTGTTGCGGTTAAGCTCGCCTGCCTGCTTACTACCTGCCTACCATGATGGGTAGTTGATTTTATCAGAGTCCAAACCTGACTCATCATGCCAAAATGCGAAGTTCTCCAGCCCTCCCTATCTCCCTTTAAGGGATAGCGGTGCTGAGATAATAGCGATGTGCTGACAACAAGTATGCACCACCTATCGCTTCACTTCATCTTTGCATCGATTGTCCGTGGGTTATTGGGTTAATGGACCCCGACCCATCGTGACTCGATAATTCCACTGCCTAAATACAATGCAGGCCCGGTTCAAATGCATCTTATACATGCACGCACGCAAGCATGGAGAAGGGGGCAGAAGAGATGAAGGTGGAGACGGCTACCACCGTCATGGTCGCCTTATCTCAGTGACTCATCCTGCCGAATAAGGGAGAACTAATGCGCTTTCGTGTGCGTGGGTGCGTGCTTGCATGCGTTAGTACATAGTCACCACAACGCGGGAGCTAGATGCTGGGGCCGCCGCCAGAGATAAACCCATCATAGAGGCAGGTAGGCAGCCAACGGCCGGCAAATGTCCCACTTCCCGCCAGCCGGACCAAAATTGGTTCGTCTTAGGGGCAAGGGAGCATCTGTCATGCTCCCCATACCACACAGCCACCGATTTTGTACTTCTCTCTGTGAATCCCATCACTGAATCCAGGTCTGCTTTATGTTTAAAGAGTTGACTCAAAACTCTTGCACCTCTACCCTACTTACAATTTGTTGGTCTACTTCTGTTTGCCCACAGCCACCCACTCTATCCCCTACTGGTGCTGATTTTTGAGAAATGCGAGCTGGCCACATGTACACCGCGTGATAGGAATAATTCAAGGGCGTCGACTGACAGTCTTCAACAGAACCCAATGTCTGCTGGCGAGCCGACTGTCTGGTCCTCTGTCTCCTTTGACAACGATATCCTCGCTTTTGCAGAGAACGTAAGCCTTGTATTGTTGACTGTCCTTTGACGGTTACTATCTTATCTGTCCATTTACTCGGAAGTTTTTTGGGAGGAAATTTTAACATGGTATTAGTTTAACTCTGATCGCTCATGCATGCGTTTGGCCAGATAACGTGATACCACTGCGATAAGACACCACTTAACACTGACTTCCTAAAACCATCACTAACATCACGACGACCACCACTACCACCACCATTCCTCCCAGTGTGATCCGAGAATGGGGACGATTCCAATTTCAGGAACGATGACCATCTCACGAGCTCGCTCTCGTGTGCGTGTATGCGGGATGTAAGGATATACACCCAAGGCAACCAGGACGTAACGATATGGAAGAGCCATAGGCCATAGGGTTATGTATTACACCACGCAAGCAGTTATGTGACGATATTCGTCTCCTGAGCTGGGCGTGTCATAGAGTGCCACTCTTTGAGCGAGTGATAAATTTTGTATGGCATCCTTAGTCAAATGGATGGAAGCACGACAGTTTTGCTTCTCATAGAATTTAGCCTAAGCACTTGACCCTTCGTTTTACGGCTTAAAGTTAACAGATTGGCAAACCTTGTGCATGAACCAAACGGACAAATTGTTAGTCGCTTTGACTCGTACTGCAATAATTTATCCATCTTCAGCTCCGACATTTGTGAGAGCCTACCATCACTCATTTAACACTGTTTGATTATGCCTCACAACGATGTGAATAATAACTACTTTAAGATCCTAATTTTAAGCCTTGGTGCCCAAGATATTTATGCGTATCCTCCCTGAAACACGTGATTTTCATCATCTCGATGAACGTCTTGGTGCATGGATGAAGGTTACTAACCCTATAAGGAATGTAAAATGGATGCCAACTCTGACTGTCTGAGGTTTTGGTTATGTCTGTTTTTATGGGTGGGTTCACCCATTCTTTTAATTTTCATAAAATACAAGCGCCATTCTCTTTTGCACTCCTTCGTGCTGTCGTTCGCTCACACGCATGTAGACTCGCACGCAATCAACCCGCACTACTTGCCGAGCTCACGCCATTCGAAGGGAAATTTATTGCCGTCGCCTGTCGCTGATGATATATGGGTCGAGTTCCCTCCTCAGAGGAAGCGACTCAATGGGCAAAAGGGCGAGGTCTGTGCGATTTGAGGTCACGTCCCCCTCAGGGTGCTTCAAGGGGACTTTTCAGTATGTAAATTTTGTGGCTAGTCGACTCCCCTACAGAGTTATGCTGTGAACTAATCTAGTTGCCACTGTCACATAGTGTTGCGTTGTTAACCAATGGAAGAAAAAAAAAACTGGACTTAGATTACGTAAGTGGGAAGGTTGTAGGGCTTCATGCTAAACACTTCCGCTACCAAATTGTTTCTCTAGAATCCAGACAGCACAGCGACGAACCGGAAGCTATTTTGGTTGGGTCGAGGCAAATATAATTACAATGTCGCGAAAACATGTGCTGGGGAGGGCGAAGTGATGGATATGCGAGAGGGGAAAGACAATTTGCAGCCATCATGGCATTTCATGTCCCCTTTATCAAACTCGGTGGTAAGGGACACTAGAAGCATAAAGAAAGTTCTCTTCCATGTAAGACCGTGAATCTTGATGGCAATGTATGCATAAAAGCGTTTGTGCGTCCGTCATCTCCCATAGCTCCGTGCATGTCTATACCTTTCAATCAAGTCAGGCGGTCTTTGACATCTATCAAATCAATGGTGCCACGTGAAGTGTCCACTATTCAATCCTGTTGATTGGATAGCCTCAAGGTGGACCTATCCGAATGTATGCGTCGTCTACCTGTTACGCAGTGTGTGCGTGTGCCTGTTCAAAGCTTCTTCTGACAAGGTGCCTTGTCAATCACTTCTACGGTCAAACGCGCCAAGGCCTATCCCTTTTCCCCTTTCTTCGATTGATGGAAATGCACGTGTGCGTAGATGCGTGCGTGTGCAATGTGGTAGCTGTAGTGACTAACGTTGGGAAGGAAAAACAGAGCCAGGAGAAGGCTACTGACGTAGTCCTCCTACCCTTACCACCCGCCCCTGCCCTTCCTCCGCCCCTACCCTTCGTATACCCTTGCCACTGCCTCTCAACCATGACTAAATGCCAGAATGTCGTGTTTACGCTTGGACACAGGCCATTGTGCCACTCTTGCTTGGCATTCATCAGTCCTCGTCGCCGTCGTTTGCCTCCTTCCCCTCCACCTCCAGCTTTGTTCGTTTGACGAGTGACCGCTGTTTTCAATTACCCGCCTGTCCGTCCACTGACTTGCTTTTTAGCGTGATTTCCTTCAGCCCTTGCAATTTTAAATTCTCAGCCGATTATACGCCTCCTTGATCTTTTTTAGTTTGCACGAAATCACAAATCGACACGGACCGCAGACAGTGAGATCGATTCTTTGGTAAGCTGTTAACTTTACAATATGCTTGGGATCCTCATTTCCATGTATTTTAGTTTTCTACTTTGGCTTTCAGATAATCCAAGCTATTCGCGTGCTCCGGGTTCACCTTATCGAAATTGAAAAGGTTGGTGTCGAAGCTGAGCCAAGAGGTTTAGTTCCTGTTATCAAAATCACTAATCATTGCCGATGTGTGCTTGTACATATTGGCAAATCTATCTATTCTTCAAATTTATGTGGGATTGA